GCAGGCGAAGGCGCATTGCAAATTGTCAAACCGTTATGTGATGGGGGTGGGGCGGGGGCTCGGATTCGAAGCCTGGAGACGGGCACAGAGAAAGTCCAAAGCGCGTTGGCGGCGTTGCGATTTATTGTGAAATATTGAAATTACACAAGTTCCTCCTCCAGTGAGAAAATGAGCAATGCGCCAGTTGCATCTGCATTTTATGCCGAAAAACAATTGCCAAAAAAAAAAGGAAACCAAACCAAAAGCAAGTCCCTCTGCGGTTATCGCCATGACAGCTGTCAATCTGCTGATGAGCGGACAAAAAAAAAACGAGAAAGTTTTTTTCTTTTGTGCCTCGAAAAGTTTAATTGTGACGGAGATTCAATTAGCGGGACAAGTGATTTTATAGCGCCCCTCACTCATCATTGGCTACCTAAATTACCCACCAAATGTGGCTACTGGCCACAGGTAAAAGTCTTACTTCTGGGCTGGTGTTGGCCCAGAAATTAAACGGCCATAAATGGCACAGCGGACAATTACTTTATTTGTGCACTCAATTTATGCTGATTTATGGCAGAGACAGTCAGAGACAGAGACAGCACAATGCAGATGCCAGCCCAAATGTTAATTGCACTAAAATGCAGATTTGCCATACAAACTCGTACTCGTGCATACATACTCGTATATACATATTTCTGAGGTCCAGTTTCGTGTGCCAGACCTTGGCTGGCGTTTTGACTGTCGACCGGCAAAAGATAAACAGCGACAGTTTTTTTTTTTTTACCAATAAAGTGGGTGTGGGGATGGAGGTGAAGATGGGCTGGAGAAGGAACTTTGTTGCCTTGTCTGCCAAACTCATTAAAACGAATCTTTTTTAATGGCCAAAAGTTTTGCCCGGTTGCTGCCATAATCAGTAAAATTAAGGCCATGGCAGCTGAAAACTGTTTGCTGCCCACCGCCTGCCAATGTCGTTAGCGCCGCTGCTGCTGCTGCTGCTGGCCCCACCAAAACACCAAAAAGCAGGCAGATATAAAAAGCCGACACTGCCCCATGACTGCTGAAAAGTTTCTGTAAAAACTATACAACTGATTTGGTGCGAGTACGTGCGAGTATTGATTACTTCAGACAAAGAGCTAAGCGACAACAAAAGGCAGTTGGTTAGTTTTTAATATTCTTTTAAAATCAATAATGAATAGAGGAAATGCCTTGCTGTAGCCATAAGCTCTGATTCGATACTCCTTTAGAGGAACAGACATATTGTCTATCAATTCTTTGGGTCAAATCTGCAGTAGCCCAGCGCATTCTCATTGCCAATTCAATATGGGCAAAGAGTGGGGCTAAAGGATCTGGCTGCAAGGCGTCACACGTTGTGTGTGTCAAGCGCAACGAACAACTTACAACTTACTTAGATCAACTGCAGCAGTGGCAGTGGCAGTGGTCGTGTCAGTGGCAGGAGCAGCAACACATATCCCGACACAAGCAGGCGATAGATGACGCAGACATTGCCATGGCCATGTCCAAAAAGGCCGAAAAGGCAGCTAGCCAGCCCAGCCAGCCCAGCCACACAGCCACACCAAACGTGCTCTAGCTAAACTCTGAGAAGAGTGTTTGACTTCTTGTACCAGCCGCATGCCTCGTGCCCCATGGACCGACCATCCTGAATGCTGCACGTGTCCATCATGCTGCACTCTTGTGCACTAATTACGAAAACTCAGCACGTTTTGGCATGGCACGGCAGGGCACGGCTCGACTCGGCTTGGCCTGGTCGGGCTGGGAGTCTGGGTCTGTGCCTGGGTCTGAGTGGTTAAATGCTATGCTGCAGTAATAGCAGCAACATGCAACGCGACAGTTGCCTGCACCCGGGGGAGCAACAGCAACAGTGGCCGCTGCAGCGGCGGCATTCGCACAAAAGTTAAAAACATTGCGGCAAGCAATAAAATCAACATTGGTTTCGGTTTTGGCTTTGACTCCAGCAGTCCCAGGATAGCAGCACCAGCCCCAGCCACAGCCCCAGTCCTGCACTTAGCCGCACACTGCCCCTACTGTTTGGGGTGTGGGGTGGGATGGTTGTTCGGTTCACTATGTAACTGCATTACTGATGAGCTCCAAAAATGTGCCTGGCCTGCCACAATTTGACCAAAGTCAATGTCTGAGGTTGCCACAGCCACAGGCATAAGCCGCGGGTAATGGCCACACCCAACCCCAACCCCAACCCCATTTTGACTTCCATTTTGTGCCTCATTTTGTTGCTGATGGATGCAATAATTAGAAGCGAAATGAATCCACAGAAGCTGCCTGCTGTGGCCGTGGCACAAATGAAGAAAGATTAAATGGAAATATTGCAAAAGGATTTTATTTGATGATCAAAGCAAAGGAATTGCTTGCCAGCTAAAATATTAAATCATAAAACGAAGGCAGTAACTTGCTTTAAATTTTGGAATATTTGTAACTATCCCATGCCAGAAGTATCATTAACTTTCTCCCAAAAAAATACCCTATAGAGAGGATGACTGTATGCAGCTAAATTGGTGAAATCTTGACACCCTTATAGGGTGATTGGTACCTTCGCCACTCCCCCCCCGCCTAGCTTCAGCACTCGAGCGTAACTAACGCATGCCCAGGTCTGGTCAACTACATATTTGCAATCTTTGCGTCGGCAACACGGGGCTATAAAAATAAATTACACACAGCTTAAAACTTATGTGAAGTAGGAAGAAAAATGGCTTATAGACGCGCGCAATGCAGCCCAAAGATGGAAGGAGAAACAGCTCGAGTCGAGAGCTAACCGTAAGGAACGACAAAATGACCAATTCGACCTCAGCCCAAAAGCAAGGAAGACCAAGACCAGGCACGGACACGGTGGCAAGCAGGGAGAGTGATGAACGTTATGGCTGTTTTGTATGGTGCTCAATCGAAGTGATTCACCCACACGCACACTCACACTCTCACACAATCACCACCCACAAAAGGGAGGGAGGAGATATGGCAAGCCGGCAAAGGTAAAGCTTGAAGCCGACAATGAAGACATTAACATGACCAACGACAAACGGCAAACGACAAAACTCTGTGTGCCCCACAGCTCATCACATTAATCTTCCTAATACGCCCATCAATAATTCAAAGCCAAAGGCATGACCAAAGCCGAACAGCAATCTTTACTCGAACCGAACGACAATCGACCATCGACCACTGCCCAGTGACCACTGCCCAGTGACCAAGTGAAGAAGTCGCTCCAGACACGCAACCATACTGAACCAAGCCACACTCTGAACTGTACGTCACGTCACCGAAACGAAACGAATTCGAATCCACCAAAGTGCTGAGTGAATTATGACGCACTCTGCTCATCGCTCTCGTCTCTGGTGGTTCGCCATAGTTAGAGCTGTAGATGGGGGGATGGCGAGGCAGAGGCCACCTTCGAAAACAGTTTGTCGTACATCAAATCGAAACTATAACATACAAATATTGAACTCTCGTGCATGGCCTGACAATGAAGCTTTATGGCTCGTTAGCATTTGATTTATGTGCACGAAAATTCCAAAAAAAAATAAGCAACTCTACACACAGCAAAAGCATTGAAATCATACAGAAATTAAGCGCCAAAATATAAATAGTTTAATGTTGATTAAAGCTGTGATTGTACGAGTTGTGATCTGCACCACAACAGAACTGCAAATAGAAGCTCTGATTAAGCTTATCAACAGTGCCAATATTTAAGTGACATATGAAAATATATTTGTATTTGTATAAACAATTAATGCCTAACGGTAGAAACTCATTTTGGATAATAACAGTCGAGCCCTCAAAGCATATTTTGCAGAAAGAAAATGTTCTTCTAAGTGAAATAAAATTTAAATTATTAAAAAAAAATTACAATTTTTAAACAAGAATTAAAAAACAATTAATATTATTAAAAAATAATTAAAATTATTAAAAAAATAATTAAAATTATTAAAATATAATTAAAATTTTTTTAAAATAATTGAAATTTTGCTCAAAAAGAATTAAAATTATTAAAATTAAATTACTCCCTAGTAAATAATGTTAATGTAAAACGCTCTTATCACTTGTTTGTTAAACAATTTTAAAGCTTTTGTGCTAATTTTTTGTTTTCCCCTGAATTTTTATTCAGAATTTCTTAAAATTTAAATTTAAAAAAAAAACTGTAGGTTCCTAAATTGAGCATAAAAAGTGAACTAAATATTAATTTTCGTTTGGAACTTTCTGCAATAAAATAATTTGTAAATGCAAATATTTGTAAGAAATGTTTCTAAAGCTTTACACACGCATAAATATGTGCTGGTATTTTTAGTTGCTTAACCTCTCCAGACTGACCCAAATAAATCTGATAGCACTTTTAAATGCTTTGTTTTCAGTGCACTTTGCACCCACGTTTAACATCTTGCAGGTATCGTAATTGTATAGCGAGCGTAATTGTATGTGAATGGCATATGCTGGACACACGCACACAAAAGCGTAGAAGAGAGACCACCACTGTTCCCCATGTGTCCCCCATGACCGTGTCCATTGTGCGCTGGCGAGTGACAGGCCGCCAACCAGATCAGATGAAGGCAATGGCGCGGCGCTCTCAATCCTCAGGCCCATTGTTAGGGCCGGACAATGCCAAAAGTGCTCCTTCGGCTCCACCTCAGTTTCACCTGTTCCCGTGACAATTTGATGTCAGTGTCTGTTCCATTCGGAATTTTTCGTTGCCATCGACATTGTCATCGCAGAATTTTTCACGCCTACTTCAGCGCCTATTCGATTCGTTGTAACCCCCACCCCCCCATGCAAATGCCTTTTGTTGGTGCGCCTCTCTGGTGGATTGGTGCCAACTTCCTTTGTGGCAGATGCTCCCCACAGCTGGCTGCTTGTGCTGTGCCGCTGATGAAGATAGACACACATCCAGCGTGCCACATGTGCCAAGCCTTCCAAACAGTTCCGAATGCTTCACAGTTGCCTTATCAATAAAGCTCGAATTGCCGCTAATTGTGTCAAAGGTTCGATAGCATGGCTGGGCGATAAAGATTTCGCATGTGGATGTGTCTTCGGGGGCTATAAAAGAGACAGCCAGCTGCCGAAATATTTCAGTTTGCTCATCAACAAAGCGAAGACAACTAAGTAAGTGATGGAGGAGTAAGGTTTAAGTGTACAACTCGGGTTGCATTCAAGCGAATAGCAGCTGTCCAGCGGGCATAAAAAACAAATGCTAATCGGGCAGATCTTCTAGAAATTCCAACTCTGAGTCAGCTGTATATAAAAATGTTCCACTATCTGTTTACACTCAATAAGTTCACTTAGCGCTGATTAATGCATGTTTTGCTTTGCTTTTGTGTTGCAGTTTCCATCAAAATGAATTTCTCCTGGCTCGCTGTCTTCATTCTGGCCATCATTGCTGTGGCTGTTTCGGCCAAGCCTCAATGCCCGGCACCATTCAAGAAGGAGGGACCCAAGTGCGTAAGCGATCGCATCATTCGCGGCGAGTGCCCACACGATTCCCAGTACAATGCCAATATCAACAAGTGTGTCTACAAGTCCTAAACAAAATATTAAATAACAACTAATCTGGCAAATCGAATAAGACAAAAATAAAATAAAATCAAATAAGTGAAACTTGAAAACAAATCTGTCGTGGCGTTATCAGTGTGAGTCGTGTCAGAGTCAGCTGACTATAACTAAGCCGAGGTCGAGTCTGTCTAATCAGTCGCCTCCTCTATATAAGATCCGTTTCAGCTGCACTCCCACAAATAGTTGCATTTTCAGTTTTGTCCGAGGTGAGTCGAGGCAGTCGCTGATGTTGGGTGTGTTGGTTTTGGTGTGGCTAAAGTGTGTTTACTCCGTTGTGCAGGCAAGCGGAAATACGGAAATCATCCATCATGCTATTGAAATGCACTTGGCTAATGCTCCTGCTGTTGTCCCTGATGGCCGGTGCCTGGGCCAGCAGCTGTCCCTCGGGATTCAGCGCTGAGAGCGATCGGTGTGTCAAGGAGCGACCCATCCACGGCACCTGTCCCCCGGGCTCCACCTATTTGCTCAACATCAACAAGTGTGTGCATGCCTGAGGAATTTAACATTATTGAATTATTATTGAATATAAATGTGCTAAACTGTACCCGTAGTTTTTGTGTAATTTTTGCAGTTCTTTTTGCATGTCAAAGCGCCCGTTTCCAGTCTCTTGCTTGTGCCATTTTGCTGCCCAGTTGTTTCTTCAACTTTTGCCTTTAGACCGCAACCGTGATTGCGATTCAACTTCATTTTTGAGCCAATTAATTTTGGCATGGGAAGTTCAACAAGTGTTAAAGACCAAATCTGATGGGGCTGTTGAAGGCTGAACACTGAACGCTTGATGCTTGATGGGAATGTGATGTGCTGTGTTGACGATGATGATGATGATGGTGAGTGACGTCGCTGCCAGGCGTGCACGTTGTCCATTAGTTTATTACCATGTAATTGACTCAACGCTTGTCAGCCGCCGCGACGGTGACGATGGCTCCTGCGGCTTTAATGTGCTGCATTTAATGCCGAAACCAGCAAACCGACATCAACACCAGAAATCCCAAAAACAACGACAGCAGCCCCATCAAAGTCAAAGCGGTGTGTCTGTCCATCTATCTGTCTGAGTGCCGGTTGGCCGTGCTGGCGTGATTAGCTTGAATGGGCCCCGCTGAACCTTTGGCCCCCCCTCTCGCTTATCATGGCTGGCATTGGCCAGAGTTTCGTAAGCTCAGATCGGGAATTGAATCGTCTCACAGCCTAACACACGGCCTGCTATAAAATTCATTAAAAACTTTGCCTGACCGCCTCAAAATGCCCAAAAAAAAAAAAAAAAAATATATATATATATATATATGGGAAAAGTGTAAGAAATAAAAAAGTAGAAAACATTTAACAGTGCAAAAACTTTGGCAAGTCCAAGCTGTCGACAGGATGTGCAGCAAACCCAATTGCATATGCCAATGTTGCGAAAGTTTTCGCCCCAGCAAAATGTCCCACGCCCGCACACCAGTGATGAGAGTTCAACAGCTTGAAGATAGGGTTAAGCAGGGGATGAACAAGCTAAATAAACGTACAGATATTCAAGATTAATTTGAAGTATTGTTTATGGCATATTAACTTTAAATTTAAATTACTTTAAATTGTTTTTAAGGGCTGATAGAAATTTTGTAAGTAATTTTACATGCAGAAAATTCACAGAACCATTGGAAATTAAAACGAATTTTAGCTGCAAAAATAATGTACTGTGCTTATAAAAAACATTTAATTGTTCGATTCGGCTTGAAAAATATTAAAATTAAATTTATATTTATCGTAATTAAAAGTCACTGTGCAGTCATCAATTAAAGTTTTTAGCGCCGAGGTTTATTAGCACTAAACCTGATTATTACTAGTATTACGGAGTAAGAAAAAAATAATAAAAAGCTATGTTTTTTTGCTATTATTTAGCTTTGATGCTGTTACAAATATTAATTTGATTTAAGCTATTTTCACTGGTTTTTTGTTGTTAAGAAAAGCCAAACTGTCATCACTGTCTGCCGCGTAGCGTCCATAAACTAAACGTCCTTGTCACTGGGGCTTGTAAATTTCTATGACTTGCATAAAAAAGGGCTCCCCAGAACGCCTTCCGCTGCTCTAGGTTTTCTTTTTTAGTCTAAAAGTTTCCTGTCGCAAAAGTCGGCCAGCGGACAGCAGACAGCGGGACAGAGTACTATGGACGGGCAGGAAATAAGGAAATGTTTTCAGTCGTATTTGCTGCCTTGGCAGCGACATTTATCAGTCAGTTGTTGCCATGTCCATTGGGGCAGGGGTGGGCAGGTTGTTGGGGGTGCTGCTGTGGGCGGGCGTGGTGCCTTGTTGGACAATTTTCAAAAGGAGTCTCAAGTGGCTGCTGCCTGCCCGAAGCCTTGCAGCTGACAGCAATCGTTGCAGTTTGTTGCAGGAGCCGCATGGTCGGGTACAACGTATTTGGTGTATCTTGGTCGCCGGTCGCCTGGGCTCTCTGCTGTGCTCTGTGCTCTGGCAACGGCAAAGTTCTGTTCCTTCTGCAAACTCACGCGTAAATATGATGAACGTAAGCAGTAAAGTTCTGGCCAACTGATAGCCAAACGTTCTTACTTGGCCATCTTATAAACACAAGCTGGCCATAAAAAAAAAAGAAGAAACTTTACCCCAGGTCGGTCGATGTGCTGGGGGCCGACGGAGTGGCCGGGGCGGCCGGGACTCCTCTGGTGACGGCTCAACTTTATGGAGGCCACATAGTTGCGGCTTGGCTGCATTTCAAGAATACTGCATCGCTCCCTCAACTCCTTCCTGCCGTCTTCCTGCCGCCTTCCACTTTTCTTATCTCGTTTGGGGGGCATTGTCCGGACCATTCCACCACCTACATGCCGGACCCGGACCACAATTCCTCGCCAGCTAAAAATGAAAGTGTGGCCATAATTTTTGCACTGCTTTGGTGCCTATGGTGTGTTGCTGTTGTTGTTGTGTCCGGGTTGGGTTACTGTGTGTGTGTGTGTGTGCTACGGCCAAAAAACTTTTCCGTTATTGATGCTGTCCCAACCAGAGTGCTGTGCTGACGAGGCTCACCAAAGGCGAGGCTTCGAGGCTACTTTCCAAATAGTTTAAATGCACACTTAAAAGATTTTTATGACGTCAACGGCTGCGTAATTGTTCGGCGTATGGAGTGATAATGGATGCGGGCAGAGGCAACTGTAATTACATCTACAAGTACTTACACTAGTATGCAAATTTGTGGCAGAATTCTGGGTGACAGTTGTGGTTGGAATTCCATAAAGAAGGGTAGAAAGTAAGTGACAGCAGGGCGGCCACTTCTACACTGGGATAAAGGATATGAGTGAAGACTATTAATATAACAAATATTTATAAATTTAATTGCTATGGGTGATTGTAATGCGTATTATTAATGAAACATTATATATTGAGCTATAATAAATAAATAAATAAATTGTGGCCCGATTTTTGGTTCTTTTAATATGTATTTTTCCTTTATTTCAATTTGCACGTCTATATTTCCTTCTTGTCGATTGCCGCATGTCAGCGTCTCGCGCCTATCGATTCCTCGTCCTCGAAGGTATGCGGCAGAATGCATTGAAAAGTGACCTTACAGGGCATCTTTTAACAGAGTTAAAAATCGAATACTAAACCCCTTCCTTCCCATATAAATTTCAGTGCAAAAATCCTAAAAACCTGTTGGCCAGTGCGTCCTACACATTCGAGTTTTGCTCGGCAGTTATAACTAAGTAGTTGCTTTATGCCTTTCGGTCATGTTTGTCTGCCTCGTCGTGTGCGTGCTCCCCAACTTTTATACGAAAACTAAAAACAAGATGGCGGTCGCTGTCTGCTGCAGTATGCGCGTGTGTGTGTGTGTTTGTGTGTGCCCTATAGGCACAAAAACTTTAATTTGAGTTATTTGCATGAGTAGTACTCGTACTCGCAGTTGAAATTATATTATAATTTTGCCACCAGAGCAAAAACAAAAACTTTATTAGTGATAAGGCGACACTAGAGTGAAGAGAGCGAGGAGTGAGTCCCTGACTTTGTCTGCTCTCCTCTAACATTTTCTCTCCAACGAAACTCTCTCATGCTCTATTTATCTGCCTGAAAGGCTTTTAATGTGAAACTTCAAACCGTAAAACCGAAAACTAAATCGGTAGCTGGGAACATATGCTCCATGAATGCAAAAACGATGTCTATGCATGTGGCTCTCTGCTCTATCTCTGTCTCTCTGCTCTGTCTCTGTCTCTCTGCTCTGCTCTGCTCTGTCTCTTTCTCTCCCACTTTCAGTTGAATGTTTGAATATGAGTATTACCATGCATGTGGTTTAAGGGGGGCCAAAGTTTTTGGTAGCCAAAAAACAACAAAATCAAAAGGGAGCCTAGCATGAAAATTCCAAAAACTACGCGACGGAAAATGTTCGCTTAGTTCCAGCAACCGATGAATATTGAAACGTTGCATTTTCCCCCCACCGATCCGCCCAGCACCACCTGATAGCAGGAAGGAGTAAGCGCAACATATTGGACTGTCAGCAGCTGGCCATTTTGACAGCATTTAAGTTGCCACAGGCAAAATGGTTCGAGCTTTATGAGAGACATTTACATGTGGACTTCAATCAAAAGAGATGCAAAGTCAACGTTTATTCAGGTTATTAAATGTTTTTAAAATCCCTTGCAGTTGGCAGTCATTATCTGGCTTAACCTTTGCAGCGATCGAAAAATAAACAAAAACAGAAGCTGGCAAACATTAAACATTTTTTTTTTAATTCTGCTTGTTGCATGAAGTAAGTTTTATTTGCTGCACTTTAAAGGCGTGACTGAGAGCCTGCCAATCGTTTGAACTAATACATCAGATTTCATGTCTTAATGTAGAAAAATATCAAAATTAAATTTATATTTATCGTAATTAAAAATCACTGTGCAGCCATCAATTAAAGTTTTTAGAACCGACGTTTATTAGCACTAAAATTGATTATTACTATTATTACGGAGTATGAAAAAATATTATGTTGTGCTATGGTTTATAATCAATAATAATACGTACTTAAATCATGGACTGCGATGGCCTTTTATTGCCAGACAGTCAATAATAATTCTAGCTAATCTGGATTGTTAATTACTTTTTCTAGCTTTTCTTTTCCATGGCAGTGAACGGCAAAATTAACGGGAAAAAGTCTCTGCCAAGACGTAAACAATTTAAGCTGTCTAAAATTGTGTCTTATCTGGCTTAACTTGTGACTTGAAATACTCAGACACCTGAGGTCTCGCCTGAAGGATATCAAAGCTAGACGACTTTGTCCTGGCCATTACATACAGAATGTCATAATTGACTAACGCTAAGCTGCGCCATTTGGCCAACTGATGTCCGCCCCTGTGTCCCTGGCCAAGGTTATCACGACATTGTCGCATCTGCCCTGCCCTTGGCTGGGTGAGACCATACTCCAGACTCCATCCGACCCGACCCTAATCCGGCAAATCACCAACAGCTGTTTTTTAATTGCTTTTCTGTTATTTTATTATTGCTGCAGTTTTGCTGCACTTCAAATTTATCCCACTTCCCCCGACTCTCTGACTCTCTGACTCTTTGCCTTTCTCTGTCCGT